GAAGCCAGTTCGACCACTGTGTTTACTTCAGATTTCGACCGGGTAATTAATTTGTTATTTTGTTGCTATATGTGGATGATATTCTAATAGCAAGCAACAATGTCGAAGAGGTAATGAGGGTGAAGGCTGAACTCAATAAAGAGTTCGAAATGAAGGATATGGGAGCTGCGTCCAGGATTCTTGGGATTGACATCCGGAGAGATAGAAAGCATTCGAAATTATGCTTATCTCAAGAGGCATACCTACAGAAGGTTCTCGAAAAGTTTGGTATGTCAAATTCAAAGCCTGTTGTGACTCCGACAAACCCTCAATTCAAGCTGAGTATAAATCAGTGTCCCAGCACTGATGTTGAAAGAACTTATACGAATAGTATTCCATATGCTAACATAGTAGGTTCTTTGATGTATGCTATGGTCTGTACTAGACCCGACATAGCATATGCAGTAAGTCTTGTAAGCAGGTACATGGCGAATCTTGGAAAGGCTCACTGGCAAGCATTGAAGTGGATTTTAAGGTACATAAATGGGTCTCTGAATAAAGTCCTAATTTATGGTGGAGCCTTGGGTGAAGATAGTAAAGCAGCAATCGATGGATATGTCGACTCTGATTATGCAGGTTGTATGGATTCTAGAAAATCTATCTCTGGATATGTGTTCACTATGTTTGGGACAACAATCAGTTGGAAAGCAACACTTCAGAAGGTCGTTGCCCTATCAACCACTGAAGCGGAGTATATTGCCCTAACTGAAGCTGTGAAGGAAGCATTGTGGCTTGAAGGTTTTGCAAAGGAGCTAAAACTTCAAGGTCGAGTTATCACTGTTAAATGTGATAGTCAAAGTGCAATACACCTGTTGAAGAATTCAGCCTATCATGAGTGAACCAAGCACATTGATGTGAGGCTGCATTTCATCAGAGGGGTAATCGAGCGTGGAAAAGTCCAAGTGCTGAAGGTTTCGACAAATCATAATGCTGCTGATATGATCACCAAGACATTGCCCAGTTGCAAGTTTTTCCACTGTATGCAGTTAATAAAGATGCATGAAGAAAGCTAGTTTCTTGATGTTATAGAGTTAGATCAAGGTGGAGATTTGTGAGATGTTGGATCGAACTCTATTATAGTCGAAGTTTGTTCGCAAGTAATGCGTGTTGTAGTCGAAGTCTGTTCTAACATGCATTAGTAAATATTGCTACGGTTGTTAGCATGTTGAATTGGGTCTTGCTTGTAAGCCCAATTGTTTAAGTTAGCTTGTAATGGGTAATTGTTAAAAAGCCCATTAGGTTAGTGTGCTATTTTATTATAAATAGGATGCTAGTTTCTCAATCTTGGCATAAGGAAAAATAGGAAGATAAAATCCTAATTTCAAGGGAGAGAGGTTATTTTGTTATTCTTGTATACTTGTAATCTTGTTCTAAGAGAAAGGAAAGAATAGCAGTTTAATAACCAATCTTTGTTGTTCCCTGTTACTTTTCTTCTTTATTAACCCTAACCCTTGTGTGTTTCTTGATAAGAAATCGTTTATACTTTGTTTAACGGTATCCGATTCACAACATATATATATATATATATATATATATATATATATATATATATATATATATATATATATATATATATATATATATATATATATATATATATATATATATATATATATATATATATATATATATATATATATATATATGTTAGATGCATTAATTACTTCATGAATTTAAAACGTTAAAATTTTATTATAAATAGAAATGATGAAAGTATTAATTTTTTAATATAAATATTTTTTTATTTGAAATATTTATAGAATATATTAAGGAGACTTTGTTAACATGATAAAATAAAGCTTTTCTTTCTTTCTTTTATAAAGTTTTTTGAATTTTTATACATGCCAAATAATAAATAAATTTTATTATTGTTAATATCATTATCTCACCTTTCCAACAGCCCTACTTTAATTAAGATCAATGTAGTAAACATTTTGAACCTTTCTTTTAGAGGAATATGACCCATCAAAAGATCCGCCTAAATGAAGTAAATATACCATTACCTAGTCTCCTAGTAATCCCAACACAAACTACTCAAAATAATTATCAGACTTAAACCTTAATAAGAAGGCTCATTTCCACCACAATGAGGCCAAATGAAGATTCAGAGACCTAGCATCTCTCAAGAAATAACTCATAAAAACATCATATATATATATATATATATATATATATATATATATATATATATATATATATATATATATATATATATATATATATATATATATATATATATATATATATATATATATATATATATATATATATATATATATATATATATATATATATATATATATATATATATATATATATATATATATATATATATATATATATATATATATATATATATATATATATATATATATATATATATATATATATATATATATATATATGATATCCATTCACAACCCAAACATCATATATAGCACACAAGATATCCATTCACAACCCAGTAGTTTGGGAGAGCAATATCCACCACCATTTACCTAACAAAGATAAGTTAACCAGAAGAAGATCACACATCTCCAACCCACCAAACCTCTTAGGTTTACAAATGTCTGACAACCTAACCCAATTTTTTTTTGGCTTCACCTTTTACACCCGCTAAAGAAACCAACACTAAATATAAATAATTCTCTTCCATGTCTTAATAGGCATTTTCAAGAAAGAAAAAAAGATGAAAACTTGAGATATAATTAAGCATCGGGTTTATCTAGACAACCTTCCCCCAATCTAACATTACCTATGCCGCCAAAAAATTAACCAAACTCCTAGTAATACAATTAATCAGAGGTTAAAAATAAGACTCTAACAAAGGATTTGCACCCATAGGAACTCCCATTAACTAAAACTTTCAGATTGTTAGAAAAAACACAAGCATACATCTAAGTGTGTCACTTATAATCAAACCTAAATTTGGAGAGCATATAATCCAAGAAACTCTAAATCACAAAGTCATAAGCCTTTTTCGAAACCAACCTTAAAGATTAGACAATATTTCCTAGATCTCTTAGAAAGGTCCACAACTTTTTTAACAGACATAACCTCATCAAACAACAAACACCCTTTGATGAAAGAATATTGGTTTAGAGAGATAAGGAACTCCATCACCTTCGCTAATATGGATGGTAAAACTTTGGTAACACGATTATAAAGTGAACCCACAAGAGAAATATGTCAGAAATCCTCTAACCGGAAGGGAGATTCCACTTTCGAAACCAGTGTAATAAAACAAGAGGAGAAACTTTAGGGTTGAGTAGCCTAAGAATGAAATTGATGAAACAAAATTCCCACACCATATTTTAGAATATGCCAAAACCTCATAATAAAAGAAAAACTAAACCCATCAGGACTCGAGCATTTATTCTCATAAAATAGAGAGATGATAATATCAATCTCTGAAAAAAGGGGAAGACAATATATCCAACTCAACTAAAGAACGAGATTGAAAAGGCACACCATCCAAAGGAGGCTTATTCAAAAGAGATTCCTAAAAATGATCAATAAAGAACCTAGACACTTCCTACCTAACCACACTTACAACTTCTACCCAAACCTCTCCAACTTGGAGAGAGGTGATGGAATTCCTCTTATTCCTACTTTTAACCGGGACCTCTAATTCAAAAGAGAGTCATTAATCTAAAGTAAGACCCATAAGTCAGAAAGAGCTCTAGAACCACGTCAAGATCTCTTCTAGACTAAGTAACCCTTGATCCCCTCAAAGATCCAAGATACTAACACCAACATTAAGCTTCTTGGCACGAAAGTCAAAATTCGCAAACACCTATCCATTCTAAACTTTCATATTACTTTTTAGAGCCCTTAGCTTTTCCTTAATAACAAAGGCTTTCCAATCCAAAGAGATATAAGAAGCATAACTCGACTCAACTTATGCGCTTAAACTAGGATTACTAAGCCAATGATTATTTAATCTAAAACATTTCAGACCTCAACGACTTATTAGCATAACAAAGAATAATGGTGAAAAAATCAGACACATATCTCACGAGAGCCCATTAGGTCATTTGACTCCAGAGATCACACCAACCCTAAAAAATTAGAATTTTATCCAACCTACTAGTTGTTCCCCATTAGATTGGAACCAAGTAAATTTCCTCCCTAAAAGAGGGAAATCCAACAATTCTATATGATCCATAACTATCAATATCTCCCCCCATGCAGACACCAAAACCTCTTATTCTCTCCTCTCCAGAGCATAAAGAATTAAAGTTTCTATAACCCACCACAAATCACCCTTATGAATCGATCTCATATGCATAAGATCAAGGTTATTGAAAATCCCAAAAATCAGCAAAGATGAATGTTGTAAAGAAGAAGGAGTAGAAGTTGGAACAATCCATAATCAGATTATTTCTTAAATTTAAACAATTGGTATAAGTGAATGTAGTAGTTTAATAAAAATATGTTAGTTGAGTTAAATGAATATAAATATTTATTTAGGATTCAATATGTTGCAATAACATTTATTTATCTATTAACATAAACAAATTGTTGGTATTTATAAATCAACCATTTTTGTAAAAGTAAATTTTTATTTATAAAAATAATTAAAATAGTATGTAGGCCATATATAATAAGCAACAATATTTTAGGCATATATCTCTCTCCATTTTAATTAGCAACAAATCTACGCCACTGCTTTTCCAATGTAATTGTTTTGTTCAAATCCAACATCACTTTTTTTCTCTCTCTCTCTCTCTATCTATCTATCTCTTCCTTCATTTATGGTCCCTTTCTATCCCTTTATATCTCTCTTATCACTTTCTCAATTTCTTCATATTCATACCTATACCTTTTACTCAACTCCTTTTCTCCACTATATAACTTGTCTTCTGTTTCTTAATTTCCAACCAATTAACTCTTGTTTATACATATTCTCCTTCATTTGGAGTATCTTCTTTGTTATATTATAAATATTATATAGTATAATGTCTAGCAGAAGGTCAAGACAACAATCTTCTTCTTCAAGAATTTCTGATGACCAAATCATCGAACTTGTTTCTAAGTTGCGTCAACTTGTTCCTGAAATTCGTCATAGGCGTTCAGACAAGGTATTCTCAAAACCACATTTATTTATTTTATACACATTATATTATAATACATACTCTCACTATTTGTTGTTCATATATAATAAATTTTAAGTTTGAATATAAGCCAACACATCAAATATTTTTATAACTATTAAATATACAATAGAAAATGCAAGAAACATAATTATATAAAGTTTTAAATAATTAATTTATAAATATCACAAACTTATTTGTATTATTTTTTTATTTGCATTTTGTAAATTTAAATAAATTATTTTATTTATTTATATTTAAAGTCTAGTAGTTTTATTAAAATATTATAATATTTAAAATGCATATTTTAAAATATGCTTTAGACCTCAATGTGTTTGACTGTCCAATCTCATAGTTTTATATAAAATTGCCTCAAAGATGTGTGTGAGTTATAAAAAAATAAATCATGGTGTAAAAAATCAAAACTTTATTACACATTAAAAACTGTAATAAAATATTTATAGAAATAGTATCTAACAATTTGGTCAACCAGACCAGTCATGGTCAAACTTAGGAAGATATAGGACCAAACTGTTTCCAATCACACCGACTTTACATGTATCTTTACTTTCAATGATGAATAATGGAAAATAACAAAGAGAAACTTTTTTTGTACGCCATATCTACATTTTAAATATTGAAAAGAAAATTAAAACTCTTATAAAAACATGTGATCAAAGGACAGCATATATAGAAATAGAAGAAAGAAAGTGACTCTCATAGTAACTAATTTTATTTTGCAGGTATCAGCATCTAAGGTCCTACAAGAGACTTGTAACTACATAAGAAACTTACACAGAGAAGTTGATGATTTGAGTGAAAGATTGTCTCAGTTATTGCTTACAATTGATGCTGATAGTCCAGAGGCTAATATTATCAGAAGCTTAATTAATCAATGATTAAGATATAGTTATCTAATTTTAATTATAATGGAGAAATATATATTATTATTATATTTATAAGAGTGTAGTTTGTTTTAATTTGGTGGGCTAGCTAGAGTGTAGTTTGAGGTGTGTATTTTGAATATCAAGTTTTTGTAATTTTAAGTAAGGACTTTGAATTATAGCTATAATGCTATATATATCCATGTGCCATGTTTATAGATGGCCAAAGTGTATCTGTTATTAAATCTATTAATTAAGGTTATATAATTAGCTATGTGTTCTTCATTAATCACTTCAATAAGTAGCAGAGCACAAATAATATATATATATATATATATATATATATATATATATATATATATATATATATATATATATATATATATATATATATATATATATATATATATATATATATATATATATATATATATATATATATATATATATATATATATATATATATATATATATATATATATAAAGAGAAAGAGATTCTAAATATCGATAAATATAAATTGCTACACAATAAATTTTTTGATATGCAATCATGAATAATATCAAATAAAGTTAGAAAAAAAAATTAGATGTGTAACTAAGTGTTGTACCACAAAATTTATCCTCCCATTTTCAAGACAATGTGTCCCAAGAGGTTACTTAATAGTCACAAGATCCGCAATTAGTCAAAGGGATTGAAGGTTTCTTCAAAGCCTCCTCCTGAACAGTGGATCTTAGAACTAGGGTTTTGAGTCTCCCCGAGTAAAATGTACTTCTAAAACTTAAAATGGACTTCATAACATCCCACATACTTCAAAGAATCCCCATGTCAAGTTTCAGAGCTTTACTCACAAGTTTGGCCAGTCAGATGCTCATATACCTGAAAATCAGTTAACTTGGTCAAAAAGTCAACTGAGGACAACTGTGGTCAACTCAAAGTCAAACTTCAAGATTTTTGGTCAACATCAAGATTACGAGGTGAAATTAATCATTTGATCAAGGGTCGATCATGATTCATCAGGGAAACCTCAGGTCATCAAGAATCGGAAGTTGCTAAATTAGGGTTTTGTGTAGGAAAAGTCAACTGAACTTTGACCAGCCATAACTTTCACATGTTTCATCAAAAATTTCCCATCTAAAGCTCATTTTGAAGGACGTTTAATTCTATACAACTTTGTGTCTCACAAGCCAAGCCTAAAAATGCTTCATTTGAAAGATATGAGCCAAGACATTATAGATCCTTTTGAAAGTCAACAAAAAGCCAACTTTTTCCAAAGCTCATAATTTGAAAATGGTAAAAAAATATGGACATGGGACCAAAAGTGTTCATTAGAGGATACCCTAAGATTTCTAAAAAGTCTTAGAACACCTCCATAGCATTAAAATTGAGGAAGTTATGCATTGTCAAAGTTGGTAATTTTTCAAGGGGTGTATGAAGTAAAAAGGGTCATAACTCCAATTCTTTCCAAATGGGCCCATAAAATTGCAACCCAAACTTGAAGGTAGAGTCATTCACGACCCAATGACCATATTTTATGATTTTTATGATTTAAAATCATTTTTAATTAAAATAAATTATAAAAAATCAAAGATTTGATTTAAGATTTATTTTAGGATCAAATATATGGTATTCAAAGTGATTGAAGTCATCCAAATTCGTTCGAGACCAATATGGTATGATTTAATTTGAATTTTTTTTGACAATTATGATAATTGGCTCCTTCATCTTCAAGCAACCCATAAACTCCAACCAAGGCCCAATTGTTTACCCTAATTTACACTACTTTATATACACAACAAAGTCAGAATGAAAAAAGGAGGGGAGAATTTTTTTTTTGGAAGTTATAAGAACCTTAGAAAAATCTTAAAACAGCTTTGCAATAAGATTCAATCAGCTCTACAAGTCCATTCACATTCCTCAAGATCCTAGGAACCTATCCCACAAAGACTTGAAGGTTGAGACCTCACGAAGTGCATCCCATGAACATGCCGCCTCTCATTCTTCTTTTTTTTTGCTTTCTAATCTTTTATTTCATTGTACTTTATCATATTTTCTGTTCATAATGATCTTCATAATCATGTTTAGGTTTGTTTTGATCATCTGTTTGCAAGATATGATGCAGGTTTCAAGAAGTGCCATGGTTAAGGCATAAGCTTTTCAAGAGTCGAAACTCTTCGTACGGACATTTTCAAGCCTTCCCCCATTTATTTTTAGTAAATTTCTTCCTTTTTTTTTAATGTTTTATAGTTATTATTATTAAAACATTGTTATTAATTTAGTTAACCATTAATCTTTACTAACTGCTCACTAATTATTTTTCTTAAAATAAATTTTAGGCTTAATTGCAACTATGGTCCTCCTACTTTGCATTTTTTTGGGTTTTGATCCCTCCATTTAAAAAACCACAATTTTGGTCCATTTTTTAAGTTGAGTTTGATTTTAGTCTCCCCTCCAATTTGAGACATTTTTTTAATGATGTGGCGCTATCCAAGATGACATGGCAATGCCAAGTCATTTTAAAATTAATTTGAGACTTTAATTATTGATTAGGATAATTAATTTATTAATATTATTTTCATTAATAAATAAATAAATTATTAATTTTTTATTATTAATTAATTAATCAAAATTTTAAATGAAACACTTTGGGTCTAACATTTTTGTTCCATGTCTTTGGTCCATCTTTTTAACACTCAATTGGTTTGTTGTGTTTGTGTAAGATATATAAACACTAACTACATTTCTAATGAAAACAATGTGGGACTATTATAAAAGTTGCTAGTGTTTTCATTACAACATTATTAAAATGATTCAAAGTTGTTTATGTTAAATTAGTTATTAATAAAACCCGAAAAATATGAGGTGAAAAATAATAATCATGTTTATGTTCAATGCCAATGCATGATATAAATTATTGTGGTTCCTGTTAAGAAATTCCATTTGTTTGAATTTTTACAGTTCCACAAGGCAGAATCCTGGCTATCAAGTATATACCCAGTTAAAATTATTGTGGTTGTCCTAAGCTGTTCAAAAAATATCAGCCTGAGTTCGGTGAGTATTGGCCCATGATTGCTGGCATGAAAATCACTTCAATTACAATTGAAAAAGGAATGATGAAGGAATGAAGTTGTTTACTCTGAAGGTAAATATAACATTTTGTCACTTCCATTATCCCTTTTAATTTGGTATCTCAGTCTCACCCCCAAAATCTAATGTTCAAATGCTTTTTATGTTGTGCACAAGAAATGTTTCCATTTTATATAATATTATTTTGTATCAAATAAGTGTTGGTTTCACCTCCTAAAATTTTTTCTTGTTTGAAGACATAAAGTTAAACTGCAAACGGAAATCTATATACAATGTATTGTAATTTCTATGATTTTAAGAACACTAAAATGGTGGTAATAAGCAACAATGATGACACCTTGTAACAACATCACCTAGTTTAGTATGTTGTAAATGGTTTGTGCTAGTTATTCATTAGTAATTTTCATGACTTGTTGCGATTAATGTTTGTTATTTCCATGATTTGTTTGAGAGTAAAGTTTCCTTTATTTACATGGCAAGGTTGACGATGAGGTAAGCATGAAAAATGGATACACGTGCAAAGAAGAAGTCAAGCAGTTGATTGATTGCATTGGAGAAAATGAATCTCAGCAAGAGGCTTCACATTCTCAAAATGTTTTCAACTTATGTTTGTAGCCAAAGAATTGAAAGCGGTTATTTTATACTTCTGAGTACTTAATGATTTATGTTTGAAATAACATATGTGTTGAACTAAAGTACTTGTTTTATAACGTATGTTGTTGAATACTTGGTGAAATAATCAAACAAGGATCTTAGACAACAAGTTCATAAAGCATGAATATATTCACTATAAGTATTCATGCCTATCTTGTCAACTGAGTATATAATTTGTGGTTATTGTTGCTAATGTGTTGAACCGTCGCGAATTGATACACAGTTAAAATGCTGAAACCTCAACTAGTTACCGCCTTTATCAGCAATGCGGTAATTAATAGAAGCAATTAAAGTACCATCGATAATTATGGAAATAGCTTTGTTACTACAATTAAGGATACTGTCGTTATAGTAGTCCCACATTGTTTTCATTAGAAATGTAGTTAGTGTTTAAATATCTTACACAAACACATCAAATCAATTAAGTGTTAAAAAGATGGACCAAAGACATGAGACAAAAAGGTTAGGCCCAAAGTGTTTCATTTAAAATTTTGATTGATTAATTAAATATAAAAATTAATAATAAAAAATTAATAATTTATTTATTTATTAATGAAAATAATATTAATAAATTAATTATTCTAATCAATAATTAAAGTCTCAAATTAATTTTAAAATGACTTGGCATTGCCACGTCATCTTGGATAGCGCCACATCATTAAAAAAATATCTCAAATTGGAGAGGAGACTAAAATCAAACTCAAAACTTAAAAAAGGACCAAAATTGTGGTTTTTAAAATGGAGGGATCAAAACCCAAAAAAATACAAAATAGGGGGACCATAGTTGCAATTAAGACTAAATTTTATAATATAATTTTATATTTTTTTTTCTCTCACATAACTTTTTTTTTAATTTATTAATTAAAATTGTAAATGAATATAACTAGTTTTAGATTAATTTAAAAACCCTAATTTTTCACTAACCCTAATTAAACCCTCATTTTCTAAACTTGATCTTTTTTTTTAAACAATTAAGTTCCTAATTTAATTTACTTTCATTGCTTTATTTATATTATTTAGAGGATTGTATAGGATTTTCCTTATGTAATTTATTTATTTTTTTGCACCGATTATTCTGTAATTGCCCCGAAGCCGTGTAATAGTTTAGGACTTTATTTCTTGTTTTTTTTATTATTTCCATAAATATTTAATTGCTTGGTTAGTAATCTAGGGCGTGAAAAGATCTAATTGAATAAATTGGACTTAGAGAATCAACAATAAAAGAAATATCTGAAAATAATCACTCACACGCGTAAGTCGATCGTTCTACGATCGC